CTAATAGATTAAGAATTTATATACTACCTTATGGTCGCATACCGAGTCAAGTCGAGGAAAGAATCTCGAATTCCGACCATTAGATCGAGCAAACATTCACATTTTCAAAATGTAATTTTGCAATCGCATAGATTTCCGAAAACATATAAACCTTATATAATCAGGAACTGATGGCATTTCATATTTTAAAACCTAATATATAATAGCTTTAACTTACCTAAAACAGTGATAGAACTAGACACGAACATACTGAGAAGCCAGACCAGTGCGATCTTGATGACGACCACCCGCTTTGTGGAATGATGCCGACTTTTTAATGGATTCCGGATGCCTAGGTACCTGTGAACAAAATTATGAAATAAATAAGAAATATTTTAGGTACAAAATTAATTTGTGTTGTAACTTTCGTGAAACATACTAAATAAATTATTATTATTGAGTAGCAGCGCGACAGTCGCCGCGTCGCGGGACGTGAAATGCTGCTCATGAATATGAGCCTCAAGCATGGCTTGAAACTAGTCGAGTTCCTCGTCAAATTACTACGTGAGTAAGCCGAAAACATAATAATTTACAAAAATTAGTTATTAGTATTATAATTTAACAGTGGTTGGATGCAATAAACGTGTATTGTGTTGCGCTGCGACAAAGTCAATTTATTATACATTATACACTAGCTTTTACCCGCGGCTTCGCTCGCGTCACAAAAGGATAAAAGCAGCCTATGTGACATATACCAATACACACAGCGCCATCTATACCTATTCTTTTGTTTTCCCTGGGGAATATCAAAATTTTCCGGGATAAAACGTACCCTATTATTTATTCCGGACTTCTAACTTTATTATTAATACATAACCATTGATCGTTAAAATTCAACTGTTTTTAGACTAAATATAAAATTACACGAACAAAAAGATTTTTATTGGAAAACCGAGATCTCCTTAAGATTTTGAGCGATGATAATTTATCAAATAGCCTGTCAATAATGGAGGCGGAGAGTTTTGGAAAAGTTTTAGTAAATTTTTCATAATTGCTTTCTTTCTATCACAATTTAATTATCTTTTGACGTTTTATCGATTAGGAAGTCGATGGTTTCCGATAAAATTGATGTTATATTTACTGATTACAACATTATTGAATCACGCCTTGTATACTAGATGGGGTAGGCAGGTGTCTACATTATTGTACTTGATGCCACTGTACAATGTAACATCCACTTTTCACTATTTATGTTATGAGTCCGATGTAATAAGGGGTGACGCTATTGTCATATACCGGACACATTTCCAGACTGCGTGCTACTACTGAGAGTTTTTAAAAACCCAGTAATACTTTGCCCGACCCGGGAATCGAACCCGAGACCCCTTGCTCGGCAGTCGCACTTGTACTGATTTGACCAACGAGGCAGTATTTTTTTTAATAACCCACAAATTATTTATATTTTGCACAAAGTGATCCCACACCAAATGTATACCTGTATTATTTCAATAAGGTATTTGCTACATGGTTCGCTCGTTTGGACTGCAGCGTGCAACCGCACAGTCATCGTCATAAATCTTCAGGGAACACCTTATTTCCACGTTAGAGGTACGCTTGATGAGTTTTTAGTATCGCCGATACGGTAAAGGGTGATGCAGTATCGATAAGGCTATGAATATCGCGATTTCCATAATTGAAAATTGATTGTTTCTTCGTAATATAGCAGATATAATATACAAAGATTCATCTTCTCTACAAGTGAATTTTCAAGAAGGAAGATGACAGAAGTGTATCATTTTTATTCAAAAGTTTTACGGCGGCTATTATATAAGACTTATTGCAATTGCGAGGCGTTCCCATATAGTAAAATATAATATAACATGCAGGTAGAGTGTTCAACGTTTAGCCAATTTGTTATATTCGATCGTTTATTCTTAATATTTACAAAACACATACCTACTTACTTTGCCATAACTTATCCAATAATAACATTTATTATGCTATGACTGAAAGCACATAATAATAAGTAAGTATACAATATTATTATGACCTTGTTTTGTCACTCCCGTCCCAGCTGCTTGCATGGCCCAATATAAAATGATACGCTGCCACGACCGAGCAGGCAATATATTAAAATTACGTGGACGCACGTCATACTAAACTCCTAAATATACCAAAATATAAGACGCGACTCATATGGGGAAAGCAACGGATTTTAATATTATGATGAACAAGAAATTGTTTTGAAAATATTACCCTTTCGCCTCGTAAAGTGTAGGCGTAAAAATGAACAGCATTTGTTTTTATTTTTATGGAAAAAACATTGTCTCCTTTTTTGGTTTATTAATTTTGCTACTAACTTTTTTGCGGCTTTGTTTTCTCTATATTATAAATAAATTGTTTTCAAAAACGTTTTTCACCCCTCGTATTTGCGAGGACGTCGTAAAAGCTAACTAAGATATTAAACGTTTGACAACGACCGAACAGCAACGCCATCAGAATCTGATAAACCTAAACATGTTAAATACAATCTTCAAGCAAGGAGATTATGACAAACCCTCTACTTAGCTTAAAATCCAGCAGTAAACTATGACGGGCTGTTGACGATGTTGATAACTTAGTATAACAAATTAAACATTTTATGTCAAAAGTCCACTGAACGTAAAAGTTTACGGTAGTCAGTAAACGTTGATATAAACGCGACAATGGAATGGGCAACTAATTAAATCATACAATTCAAATTGAAATCCGGAGACTACATAAAATCAACAGAGCGTGTTATATTACATTATACCTACAGAATTTGTAGTTTATGCCCTTCATAAATTAAGTGACTCGTCAACCACTTTACGACTGCAAATTTATTATGCATTAAAATCTCTGTGACTGGTCAAGACTAGCTCATTCTACTAGCTACTGATTTCCCTCAAAAGGGTAGACGGGGTATTAACTTAAATTCTGCCATTATTTGCTACAGTTATTATGGGAGACAAATTGCACTCTATTTAAGGGACTCATCAAGAATTTGAAAACATAAAATTAAAAAGAAATGTTTTGTTTGTTTTATGAGATATTACCATTTATCTTTACATAACATTGTCAAAATAGTTCCCGTCACGTTGGTTCTTGCCTGCATAAACGCCAAGTACCAAATTATGGTTTAATTGAAATAAATGCTTTTGAGTTTGAGTTTGACTGTTTTTAATAAAAGATGAATAATGCAAATGTTCGTATTTAATATTCTGTACAACGTGAATTTTCTATAATCAGATTTTTTTTCATACTTCAAACTATTTCCATGGCTTGCAAAAAGAAGTATTTTACTATATGTCCCTTAGGATAATGTCAAGACAGGACTTTTTATACTTTATTTCGTTTATCAAACAAAACAAGGGACATGATAAATCCCTTAGGTCTAGTCGACGAGTCTATCAATATGTGTATGACAGTATGGAAGAACAAAATGGTTCGAGATAAAGCTACATGCAATGTAAGTGTGAGTTATATCAAAAATATTCTTAAGACTTTTTCACTGAAATCTTAGAGAACTGCGTACTAAGTTTTCTTTTGTCATTTTTATCGACTGAAATGAGATGATTAATAATTTTAGAATTATCTACATTAACTAAAAAATACTGTTTATTCACGTCAATGTATTGAGCAAATATACTATTATGTTTTCGAATTACACAATAATTATTTGACAAGGAACTCGACTAGTTTCAAGCCATGCTAGAGGCTCATAATTCGTTTTAATTTGTTAGCCACATTAGTAATTCTGATTGACGTCGTTGTTGGTCGAGTGGTCGCGAGAGGAACTATTGAACAAGTCCTCTCAGGTCCCGAGTTGAGCAATGTATAAAATAAGATATTTCAATTAAAAAAAATTAATATCAGGTGTACTGTTATAATATATATTCAGACTAAAGATTAGTGAGAACTCATTTTCGAGTTTACCAGCGCTTTTATGAAGCTAATGTCGTTTTTAAGCTTATAGCAACGTAGCTATTACTATTTACATTATTTTTTATTATCTTAAGCTCATTCTAACATAGTCGTTAGTTCTTATTATGCTATTAATTCTTTAGAATTTGTTATTTTTATATGTAAAGTCAAAATATTTAGTTGTAAATGTTATCTTTAAATTTCGGTTTTGTAATTTTTATGTGAAAGGCCAAATAAAAGTAGGTGAAATACACATGCATACGTATAACTATTGTTACTTATAGAAGCATAAGCAGGCTTGATTTTATGTCACGTAGAAGATTCAACGTAGCAGAAAAGTTATTTGCTACGGCAGCGTAGGCGGCGTAGTACTACGAATCGCCTCGTCAGCTACGCCGTAGCAACAGTTACGTAGCAGTTCATGGCTAACTTATCGAACACTTATTCAGTTGCTTAAAACTTGTGACGTGGTGAAATTTGGATTACGTAATTGATTGAGAATAGTGTCACAGTTTGTAGAGATACCCATACCCATAATGCTATGCTATTTTATTGTTGTTAAGTTTACTTACACTTATATGAACACGATATAGATTTGATTAGTTTTCGTAAAGGGTAATCATTACTGTATACAGATCCATATTTTAAGCCAACAACATACTTAACTATATTCATAATATTGTACTATTTTTACCCTCCTCCTTTACTTGTAAGAAAAGTAGTTTCGAACCAGGAAAACCAACGAAGAAAACAGCAATATACATTATAATCCATGCTCACCACACAGCCAACTACCTATAAACTTCAGCCAGGCATTATTCCAGTCTGTTGCCTCTCAAACTCGTAGCGAGGCGATACAAAACATACATTTTAATATCAAACACCGGATACTATGTATTCAAATTGTATCGGAATTTTATAGCTACTTGTAATTCCTATCATATTTTTGAGGTGCAGAGGAATACTAAGAGGGAAGTTGATGTGAAGATTTGTTAAATTTTGTCCTTTTATGAGCACACAAAACATTGTGTACTAAAAAATGTACGATTAACAAATCGTACATTTTCTTGAACGTGCATGACTCTTTCACACTTTTCTAATTACTTTAGTGACTGTTTTTATAATATTACATAACATAACATCACGCCTTTTATCCCCGAAGGGGAAGGCAGAGGTGAACATTACGGCACTTAATGCCACTGTACAATGTACAACATCCAAAAGTGGATACTTTTCACTATTTATGTTATGAGTCCCATGTAATAGAGGGTAAGCCTTTTGCCATATACCAGGCACAATCCTAGACTCTGTGCTACTATTGAGATTTTTTTTAAACCCCAGTAATATTTTGACCGACCCGGAAATCGAACCGAGACCTTTTGCCCGGCAGTCGCGATGACTCGGCCAAAGAGGCA